CGACCAGCCACGCCCAGTGTTCCCTGCCGGACCTCACCTGCGAGTATCCACGCCAAGTGTTCCCTGCCGGACCTCATGTAGGAAGATATGGGACAAAGAATGTGCAGAAGAAAGTTAGAAAGAATGTCAGAAAGAATGTCAGAAGATATGCCAGAAGATATGCCAGATAGAATGCCAGAAGATATGTCAGAATATATGCCAGAAGAAATGCCAGATAGAATGCCAGATAATATGCCAGAAGATATGCCAGATAGAATGCCAGAAGATTTGCCAGATAGAATGCCAGAAAATATGCCAGAAGATATGCCAGATAGATATGCCAGAAGATATGCCAGAAGATATGCCAGAAGATATGCCAGAAGATATGTCAGAATATATGCCAGAAGATATGTCAGATAGAATGCCAGAAGATATGTCAGAATATATGCCAGAAGATATGCCAGATAGAATGCCAGATTGAATGCCAGATAAAATGTCAGATAGAGTGCCAGAAGATATGCCAGATAGAATGCCAGAAGATTTGCCAGATAGAATAGAATGCCAGAAGATATGCCAGAAGATATGCCAGATCATATGCCAGAAGATATGCCAGATAGAATGCCAAATAGAATGTCAGAAGATATGTCAGATAGAATGCCAGAAGATTTGCCAGTAAGAAAATGTATAAATGTCATGGTGGGGATCACACGAAGTAAAGTAATTTTGTCTTAAAAAACACATGGTTTTTGGGGATTGCCCATTTTTAGGGGGCTTCCCAACTTACTACTGTATATACTAACCAGGGTTTTTAAATATGCAAAAAAACAGTTTCGATTCATGGGATGATCCTCACATTGCCAATCTTAGATACCCTGCAAAAATATATATATGTTTTTTGCTGGTTAGTAGATATTCCCATTAATACCAAAAGACTAAAGGAATAAAGTATCCATGTAAGATTGACCTAGCTCAAAGGAATAACTATAAGGGGGTTGCTCAGCCAATTTTTCTCCAGCGAGGATCTGTATCGTTCTGGTGGTACAGCATGATCTCCTCGGTTGGCGGTTCAACGGGATAGCTGGTGGTACCCAAACTGGTGCAACCAAGTTATGGTGTTTTCATGGGATTTCACCGACATTCACGGTGATTTTCGCTGAAATTGGCTATGATGTGGTTGAGTATCAGTGACTATCATGTGGGTGGGGCACTCTATTTGTAGCTCCTTGGCTCCCCATTTTGCTTCGGGAATGTGGTTACTCATAGCTCCGAGCCGCTCGCTCCTAGCACGGGTGTGTTGGTTTCGTCTCCATTTTGTTGTTTGGGCACTCACCAAAAGTCTAAGATGAAACTGACAAGTTTGTTTCCCCACAGTTCAACAATGTTTCATCTGACGACCTCTAATATCATGACGTGGTGAAGCCTATTCATAGGTTGCTGTATGAACCCACTAACAATCTATATCTATCTATCTATCTATATACATATATATATATATATTCCTCGTTTGTGGGTGATTAAAAACGGTACAAGTGCAATCCCATTGTTAGTCTAGATACAAACCAACTTAGCAAACTATGGTTGAAGCAAATCGTTGAATAATATGGTGTATAATATGTTCCAACATGTGGTATATAGATGTCTAACAAACATTTTTTCTGGGCAAATCATAATGATTCACCAACCTGAAACTTGTTGCCATTTTGGGATGATTCCCCTCATTGACCCTGATTTCAGTGATGGAGAACAGTGAGGTCGTTATAATTTGCCCTTTTCATGGTTGCAGAGAGTCCAGACCCGACTCACTTGTGGAGTCTGGCTCAAGTGACAAAAACTGGCTATCGTAGGGCGACATCATCTTGGTGCCAACTGAAGAATTGGATGAGGATTCTTGCGCCATCTGCGAACATCTTTATAGGCTTTCTCCGTCTGTGTAGACATTTTTTGCCATCCCTTTGCAAGCTCAAGAATGATTGCGTTCAGGGTTCTATCATTGGGGTGCAAGTTCACCTCCAGGAAAAAGTCAAAAGCGGGCCCTTTGTGTTGTGTCAAATAGCTGTGTAGGATATCCAATACCTGCGTTTGCAAAGGAATTTGTGGTCTCCAAAGCCATAGGAAAAAATGGAAGCACCTTGTGTATACAAGCTGTTTACCAACTGCCTGGGGATTCGCGGCCATACTTCTGAAGCAATCAAATCTTCAAGCTGTTTGTATAGGATCGGAAAAAGGCATGCATACCTACATACATACAAACAAACATACATACATGCATACATACATACATACATGTACTCATGTGTACATGTGTGTGTACATGTGTATGTGTACATTGTACATGTACATACATACATACATACAAATGCAAGTACATATTGCATACATATACATGTATATGCTAACGGGTGCAAAACCGTACGTGTAGTGACACACATTTTCAACATTCCCAATTTCACATCATGTTTTTGAGCTTACACACCATGTTGCACTCTTATGTTCACGTAACTGGCAACGCGGGATGGGCTGGGGTGGGGTGGGGTGGGTGGGGTGGGGATGTTAACGTTCGGTTGAAGCTGAACACGCCACTGATGCTACGCTGAGCATGGGGTGGGGTGGGGATGTGAACGTTCGTTTGAAGTTGAACACGCCATTGATGCGACGCTGAGCATGGGGTGGGGTGGGGTGGGGATGTTAACGTTCGTTTGAAGTTGAACACGCCATTGATGCTACGCTGAGCATGGGGTGGGGTGGGGATGTGAACGTTCGTTTGAAGTTGAACACGCCACTGATGCTACGCTGAGCATGGGGTGGGGTGGGGATGTGACCGTTCGTTAAGTTGAACACGCCATTGATGCGACGCTGAGCATGGGGTGGGGTGGGGGGGGTGGGGTGGGAAAAACAGCACAGGTCTACATGCACAATGATCACTGAAACTGGCAAGGCAAAAAAAAGGTCCGGATTTCGTGTGGAAGGGTTGCCAAACGCAAGAAAAATGACCTTTTTTTAAAGATTTTTACTTTGAGACGGCTACGAAACACTGAAAGGGTTGTCATTTTTTTGACAATGGTGATGCGCCTACACGCGCGATTCCGCACCCGGCGGGATGTATATGTGTGTGTTTATGTGTGAAAAGTTCCAAAACCAATGGTTAAAATACCAATCGAAAATCATCAAAGCATCTTTCATCTTTTTCTTTCAAAATTCAACTGAAAAAAATATTTTTTTCAACAAAACACTAGATTGGTTTTCCTCCAAAATCAAGAATCAATCGGAGATTGATTTTGTAAAAAATCGATCGATGTATTGATTTTTTTCACTCGTGGAGCCTCTGGGGTGGCATAAAGACATGGTTGGTGAATTCGTGAAATCCAAATCCTTCGGGAATGAATCTATCTATCTCCAAAAGTTGAACTCCATCTTTGCTCCAGGTCGTTGTTTGAACACTGACCAGTAGATTTCTTCGATCTGAAACCCCATGACATCGGTCAACCCCAGCGGATGAGTAAGTTCCTTTTTGAGGGACACGTACTGGTCGGTAGGCAGGCCGTTGGGAATAGCGCCATATGTCAGTCGGCGTAGCTGTCAGCAAGAGATTAAATCACCATTAAACATCCATCGGTGATTTTCCCATACTTCCCTATGGTTTTCACAAAAATCTCATTAACTCAACATATTTTTTCAAACCAGATTCAAAGTTGCATGGACACTTCAGGACTTACACTGTGCTTCTCCAAGTGTCAGCCAAGAAAAACCCAAACTGTCAGATTGGTCCTAGGTTGAAAAATCCAAAACCACCAAGCACATTGCATGTAATTACAATGTGGGGCCTTGTTTACGATAGCAAAGTTGGGGGCCACTAATCACTCCAATTTCACTATGGTTTATGATACGCAAAATACTATACCTGATAGGGTATATAAACTAATTTATAACTAGGGGGGCACATTGTACTTGTCTTTAATTCAAAAAGGCACACTCCCTATGCTAAGAAAATTCGAAAAAGGCCAGTGCTGAGATGACATCTACAAAACCAACATGTCTATTCCCATATGCTGTCCACTTGACATGCGTTAAATCCTCAAGGACCCTTCCATTTGTAATTAATATAGGTTGGTTTACAAACCCTCCCAACTGTGGATATATCTAAAGCCACCACATATTATTAGTTTTAAGATAAATCAAAACAACTTGCTCAACCAACTGGGGGGACACTTTGCAACTTCTGATCAGTTCCTCCAATTCTTCCGCCTTGCGTAATTGTTCACTCAAATGTGTCTCTATTCTATCCGCATGATCGGCAAGATGTCCAAACTTTGTTTGATAACCAAAACTAAAACCCCACAAATCGCATTTTTTGTTGGTTAAACCCATTAAACCGCCATTAGATATTCATCAAACCGACAATTTTGCCAGTTGAAGTCCCATTTTTGTTGGTAAAAACCCATTATTTCCCTCTAAGCCACCATTTTCCCCAGTTCAATCCCCATTATCCTGATGATAATTCTGGTTCCATGCTTTCACCAAGGTTCAATCGAAGAGGACAACTTCGTCTCTAAATCTTCCGCCATCGGAGTGCTCCATTCGATCTCGAAGGCGTAGAACCTCGAGCCGTTCGTTGCGGTGATCATTGACCCATGAAACGAATGGGATGTATCATCGAACTGGGACTTCATGGGAAATGATCCTCTGGTAATTGGTCATAGCGAACTGGAACATCACCATTAAAGTAATATGATTTTTATGGCCCATCTATAGATATGTCAACCAGAGGGTGAAATAATGTACGTTGGTCGTTTGTTGATCCCCTGATGTTTCCTCGAGGCTTTCTATGGTGTTCACCTCATTTTGTGGTTGATTGGTTTCCTGGTTGGTGGTTTCAACCCCTCTGAAAAATATTAGTCAATTGGGAAGATTATTGCCAATATATGGAAAATAACAAATGTTCCAAACCACCAACCAGTTGTGGTTGATTGGTTTCGCATTAAGAAATTCATCTAGAGCTTCCAGCAGATCAGCTGAATATCCGTAGAGATTTATCAAAACATGTAGGGGACATCTGAATCAAGGGACTGAGGATAATATCAAATAATGCACCAGTTCGGAAGGGCTAAATTGGTTGACATAAGTATCATAAGTATAGGTAAACTGTTGTGGTTTTATGGTAGATTATTAATCAAGGGTTAATAAACCTGTTTTTTTGAAGCAACACACAAAAGTGGGAGGCAGCACTTTGTAACTCTCATTGACTTTCAATGAACAACTACTCGTCAGCGATACAGAAAGCAAAGCCAGCCACGGCAACGTTGCCGTTCCTGCACAGCGTCCAAGTCGATCCGCTTGGAGTCATTGAACAGTATCTCCATCGTGGTGATCGGCCGTATGATTCTCAGAAGCTCATGGGCCACATGTGGAGTCCACATGGTTCTCGTGACTCTCTTCTCCGGCTACGATATCATATCTCATCATGAAGCCACTCATCTCTGCGTGGTGCTTGAACACCTCATAGAATGTGAACTCATGGAACCCGCTTCTCAGCTCTACGCCGATGCTCTCCTCATCATCATAGAGAAGCCTCATGAACACAATGAACATCATGACACGGTGAACACAATTCCGCTTTCGAGAGGCGGTCCATCACTTGCAAGACACATGTGTCATGAGGCAGATTGGCCCGTAGCATAGTAGTGTCGCCGTCAGAAACTGGGGACCGGGGGGGGGGGTAGCGAAGTTCTTCCCCAACGGTTGGTTCAGGGGGGGAAGGAATCTTCATCATCAGACCAAACTTGGAAATCATTGTTTTCAATCAAACAATATTCTAGGGGATAGATATATATGTATATATATACACTTAATTTCCATATAATATATTTCAAATATATATATATATATATATATTTATACACACACTTAATTTCCATATAATATATTTCAAATATTATATATATATGGATTCTTCCTCCAGCACCAAGGTCTCAGATGTCCCGATTGCCACCCTGGGGTCCCACCCAAAAGGGTCCACCACGGGGTCGTGAAAGAGCAGATCGATGCAGATGAAGTACGGAACCTGGAGGTGAGAACCGCCTAGTCGAATACCGTAGTGAATGGGTGAGAATTTGGAACCAGAAAATCATAGAAATCTAGGACCGAAATGGAACAAATTATGTTCATCGGAAAAAGTGAAACCCACAACTTGTTTCTATTATGAACGATATTTATGGCTGTTCTGCAGGAATCAAAACATAATACTTAATGCTTAATGTCGTTCATGAAATATCCATTTGAACACCCGAAATGCCATCCCTCGTTTATATTTTTACTGGAGTGGAAAGAAAAGGAATCCAATCACCGGTCAGGTCATCATCCTTGTTACATCCCCCCGCCCCCCCCACCTCCCAAAAACAAGCATGTTGATAGCAGTTCCTTTGCTAAGTCGGTTTATAAGTAGATTATCTGTTGGGTCTATGGTAGATAAGTCATGAGATGGGGATGGGTCAGAATTGGGTACCCTAAAAATTGCAAAATGACAATGTGGAGCCGCCAAGCGATAGCTAAGTTGGTGAACAAAATTCCAATTTCACTATGGTTTATGGTACTTATAACTTATGACTATACTTACTGGGCTTTATAAACCAACGTTCACATAACGTCTGGGGACCCCATATGGACATTCCAATCTGTGTTCACATTGGTCTTACATAGCTGGAAAGGGCACGACACTCTTGTTGCTCATGCACTTCCAATGTGGGCCCCCCCAGTCATAGGTTGGTTTATAAACCCCATGAAAACTATAGTTATTTGCGTATCATAAACCATAGTGAAATTGGAGAAAACCAATCCAATCCCATCAAATCCGATGAAACCCCATATCCAACCACCATTTTTGCTAAACATCCCCATCCAAGTGGGCCCCACTTTGTACTCTAAAATCTCGCCTCGGTCATACAGTCCTCGCGGATCATCTGCTCACGTTTCTGTGGAACCACCTCGTTTCCGCCCGTTTTTCGAACGTTCATCCCGGCAGGGTGATCGCGACACGTTGAGCCCAGCGAAAAAACGCTGGACTACTATAGTGGTTAATAATGGTTAATAGTGGTTGATAGTGCTTCATAGTGGGCCATAAAACATAACTGGTTGGCGGTGCAATAACCATCTTGAAAAATATGAGTTCATCAATGGGAAGGATTGTCCCATGCATTACGGAAAAAATGTTTGAAACCACCAACCAGATAATAAATTATTAGAATTATTTGATTATTTAAAAACAGTTTGGAGGATCCCACGAATGTCTGTGTAGGTAACCCCACTTACCCTCTGGTAATTTGTTACAGTTTGCTATTGAAAAATGCCATAGACATAGTTGATTTACACATGAAAAATCATGATTTTCCATAGTTATGCTAGTTTACCAGAGGGTAACCAGTTTTTATGTGCGATGATCTAACTGTTCCAAGTAGATTCTATGGAGATATTTTTTGGAGACGTAGATAATGGGATAATCATGGGCATTTTTTACAAAACCACCATTTGGCAGATGAAACCCATCCCTCTGAAAAAAGCACATTCCATGGTCCGATGTGGACACTCCCAAGAAAAAAACATGGTACAAAATGGTTTCGAGGGAGATGGGATAAATCCACTTATATATCTCGTGTTTATCAAAGTTCCTCTAGTTAACTGCAATATTTCATAAAGTGGCAGGCCACTGGATGTTCATTCCCTCAACATATGGCAAATTGTAGGTTTATCAACTCATTATCGGTATCCCATAGGTAATTTCACAGGTAATTTCATCGTTTCATGCTTGTTTATCTGAGATGATGCAACCTGACGCGGGCTGGGCACCAGGTTCTCCCAAGATTAGACATTGGGAAACTCCGGCTGTTTCTCTGCACAAGGTGGAACATAGTTTATATAGACATGTTTCTGAAACATAGTTTACACATGTTCATAAAGTGGTAAAGCCAATTACCCTCTGGTAAACGTTTACAACATAACGATGGAAAGATCCACCATGCTATTCATGTGGGTTTTTATCCACTATTTCGACTGGGCCATGGCTTCAATGTCGCAAACTGTTATATAGTTTACCAGGCCGGGTATCAACCATGCACAATGACCCCCAGTCATGGTTGGAAAACTCCGCCAGAAACAGTTTTAAAGCCACAGCTTCAAGCCGTTGAAACTTCCCCGTATACACCAATCGATTCATCTGTCGTCTCAATATATCCATATATATATATATATTTATTTAAATTATATAAATATATATACATATATTAAATATAAATATTATATATATATATATATCCAATAATTAGATCTCAACATCTCCATTACGTTTCTATTCTATTTCAATTGCGCCATGAACAAATAGTCGCTTTTCAACGGAAAAGTGCTGGCAAATCCGTAGCAGTATCCTTTTGGTGGTATCCAGTATATCCCAATAGATTCCCACTCTATCCACATTCTGTCCCCATGCATCACCAGTTGTGTTGATTACCCTCTGGTAAATCAATATAGCGAACTGGAAAATCACCATCTTTAAAAAGTAAATGAACTATAAATCGGCCATCTATACCATCCCCCAAAACTCTCGCATGTACTTTTGAGTGCATGGGAAAGGAGTGTCCATGCTGCAGAATCGCCGGGAACCATGGATCGGCTGGCCGAAAAGGCGATCCATCATGACCTCTTCGGACAACACCTGCTTGTGTTGCTGCGAATCCAGGTGACCAGCTGTTGCTTCTTTGTTGCTGCAGGCCACGCACTTGCGGTTGGAGTTGGTCCCATGGAACGGAATGAGGATCCGCTCGTGCACTTTCTTAGCCTCCTCCACCGTCACCGCACCATGTTCTGCATCTTCAAAGTGCCACAAATCTTTTGCGAAAATCTCAGCGCTGATGTTGAACCCCTTGGTTTGCTCTCGGTGGATATCCAAGATGTCAGCCAACAGCATGGACCTCTTGCGACGCATAGCTACAATGTGAGGCCCCCAAACGATAGCAAAGTTGGTTTATAACTCCAATAACTTTGGTTTATGGTACGCAAATAACTATACTATTCCTGGGGTTTTTGTTAACCAACTTATAACATTGTATGTCAGCTAACAAAATTGCCAGAGGGTAGATCAACTAGCTCCAGGTCTCCGCAACAAAACACCAAAATCCGAGGGACATCTTCCGGTACACGCTTGGTAACGCTGCCGTCGTTCCAAAAGAATGCACGCACCTGACGAAATTCCGCGGGGTTGGAATGGGAGATCTCATGGTGCACAAGGCAATGATTGGTACAATGTGGGGACCCCCAGTCATAAATGGTTTTATCAACACCAGTAAGTATAGTTATATCTACCATAAACCAACGTTATTGGAGTTACAAACTGACTTAGCTATCTAGGGTGCCACACTTGTATCTATCTATAGTCATCCTGTAGTAAATAGAATATGTGGCAATTTCAACAAAAAAACACTAAATTGGGAATATCAATATCGCTGAAAGTTCGCAATATTCTTCTGAGACGTTCATCGCTCCCTCGATCGATTGTGCATAGCGCTTGAGGCTCGAGCGCATCCTGCGCACTCGCCACTGCGGGTCGCAACACAGAGCCAGGTGGCAGTGACCTGCACGGCGGTGTGTTGCTGAGGCCCGCAAGGGTGTGTGTGAGGAAAGCCTCCGAGATTGCCTTTTCATCTCGACAGTGCTGAGGTCCAGGTCGATGATGCCATGCACCAATCTCGCAAGCGCGATGATGTGCCTGCCCACATCGAGTGCAGCGAATGCGCCAAGCAGCATCGGGTTGCGATGATGAAGCTGGTTGATGCGAAGGCTTGTGTGAGGAGCAACTGCAGCGCACGATGGCAGCGAAGGGGCCATCCCGATGCTTGCATCCAACTCAGCAGCTGCAATCATCTACTTCAGGATGCTTGTATTATCCATCCATCCATCCATTCATTGATCCGTCTATCTGGGTCAATGTGTTCTGACCACTTTCCACCACTGGAATAGATTGATGTTCCATTGAATTTGGCAAGATGCTTTGATCATGTTTGATCCATGGAAGACCAATTCATCCAAAATAGCTAACATTGAATGAATCTTTTGGTGTTGTCTCAAAGTTGGAAGCTTAAAATCCCGTAGTTCATCATTTGAGTGCCAACCTTACTGTAGATACCCTGCAAAAAGAAAGCTGGTTAGTACATATTCCCATATCAACAAATAGCAACACACATGTATATAGTAGAAAACTAGCCATCCCAGGGTTTCCCCGAAAATCTACCCTCTGGTAATTTAACATAGCTGTTGCAAATGGCTGTTTATAGCTGATATACCGTCCTAAAAAATGATGATTTTCGATAGCTATGTTAGTTTACCGGAGGGTATATAAAACTACAACATCCCATACATAATAGATCATCGCTAATCAAATTTGAGGTACTTGGATGGATCATGGAGTTCGTTACAATTGATGAAGGACTACGACTCATTGTACTTACATAATCTTACATATAACGTTAGCAGTTATAACTCATTATCAACCATCTACTAGCAAATTCCATGGTGTGTTGGAGTGATCTATAACCTGTTACTTTCCAATAATTTCCCATATGGCATTACTCATTGCCCCAATTTTGGAATAGCTTATGACCCAGCCGCATAGTATCAGCAGCTATATGATATCTCCATACAGATTTTCGAAATTTCCCTCCATTTTTCGGGACGAAAATCACCTTGAGCAAACCCGTTGTACCAGATCCCATTATATCCCAAATATCATCAAACTTATATCTCATGATATGGGGGTGTCCACAAATGGGAGTTTCCAGAATAGTTGGTTTATTTCATGGGAAATCAAAAAAAACATGGATGATTTAGGGGTGCCCCCATGGATTGGAAACCTCCATGTATCGCATGATACATCCCAATAATTCATAGTGATATACAATATATTTATATATAAAGAAAAATAATATATATATATATATCATGATGATATATCTCATGATATATGTCATAATGGTATACCCTCTAGTAATTTGTTGCATAGCTATTGAAAATGACACATTGTCACATGTATCGTCTAGTTGATTTAGCCATCAAACAAGGATCTGGGCAAATTACAATAATTCACAAACCTGAAATAAGGCTATATTGGGATAATGTTCCTTACTAACCATCATTCCAGTGAGGTCGCAATGAGGTCGTTATAATTATAATTTGCCAAACATGATATATCCACATCCACATATATGGGGTGTTCCTGAAATGCTGGTAACCCAATATCTGGATGCTTTACAATGGAGCATCTCAATCTCGATGAGAACTGGGAGTACCCCCATTTCAAGAAACCTTCATATCGCAATTATCACTTCCCAATATATTTCATACTGATAAACCCTCTGGTAATTTGTTGCATAGCTATTGAAAATGGCACATATGTATAATTGTTTTACCGTGATTTACCGTGTTTTACCGTGTATAGTTGTTCTTCTTATGAAGTTGTTCAAGTGGATAAAATATCTCTAGTGCTCCAAATACCCTCTGAGAAGGTGTTTACACCCCAAAAAAAACACTCCAAATACAGTCTCAGAAGGTGTTTGCAGCTGTAGGGATAACTCATTATCCCATTCTAACTCTGTTTTTTTTCACCGAGCCACCGTGGTACCAGGGGAGGCGATGATACCCAAGGCGTGCCTTGGCAGCGTCACTTCGAGATCCTCAAATGTTTGGTGTAAAAAAACACATGCAATCCATTCATATCCATATCCCTATAAAATGATATACCATCTGGTAAACAAACAGTTTGCTATTGAAAATGGCCATAGAAATAGTTGATTGACCAATTAAAAGCATGTAAAAATGATAGTAACCATGAACCCGCGCCAAGACTGACATTGCTCAATCTCCGGTAGTCCACAAACAAAAAAAATAAACTTGTGCTGGTTATGGTTCCTTTCCATTTATAGCAAATAAACATAAAAGGATTAGTTTCTACCTATCCAGTCAGTTGGTGATATTAAGAACCACCCAAAATGACTTCAAGCAGCGCAGTCGTGACAAATTTCCATATTCTTTTGGATCATACAAGCTATAAAGAATTCGAAGAGTGGAACCCACCAAGTAGCGGTCATTTTGTCTCTGCTCATCTGGTTACACAGGAGCAGTTTGTTTCTCTGCTCATCTGATTTCACAGGAGCAGGCACACGCTTGTGGTGTCTAAATCGTGAAGGAAAACCTGACCATTTCGCGAAAACAAACAAAGTGTTTGTGCAAAAAATGAGATATCCCCCAAATTCACTGCTTAATCATCATGTTCCCATAATGATTCAAACGATCATCAGTGGCATTTTTCAAAATGCTGCAGAGTGACAAAAAGAAACGCCAGATTTATCCAGTCCGAGATATATTATGATATATTGATAGCAAAATTAAAAACCTCATACATTAATTGATATATCAGATTATGTATATAGATAGATTGATAGATAGATAGATAGATGGATGGATGGATGGATGGATAGATATATATATATTAGATAGATAGATTGATATATCAGATAAGGAAACGCCACCAAACAAATCCTCACACATTGATAGTTGCATTTGCCAGCTTTCCTTCAAAAAAATAAAATCTTCGCAATCTAGCTGCTACATGCTGCTCCGGGATCGTGATATACCAACCAAGCCCGGTTCATCGGTGAGAGGAGGTGAGCGAGCACCGGTGGCCATGCAATCAGCAACTCTTGGAGGATTGAAATTTATATGATTTTATATGTATATATATATATATATTTTTAATGGTTGGTGGTATACCTACCCTATTTTTTCATTCTCGCTTTCTATGGTGTTCACCTCATTTTGTGGTTGATTGGTTTCCTGGTTGGTGGTATACCTACCCCTCTGAAAAATATGAAAGTCAGTTGGGATGATTATTCCCAATATATTATGGAAAATAGAAAAATGTTCCAAAGCACCAACCAGATATCCTATGGATATTTTGGACTTCCATATCCTGGACAAAAAAAATCATGTTTTTGAGCCAAAACCCAGAAAAAAGCAGGTTTTGGCACCGAAAACCTGCTTTTGGAGGAAAACCTGGTTTTGCTAACCCGTCGAAAACCCATAAATATCCCGTAGAAACGCGTAAATATCCCGTAAACACTCGTCAACAACCCAGCGTCAAAAGCCGCCGACGATGCAGCCAAAGGAAAACCGGGTTTTCACTCTGGAAAGTGGGATGTTTTGCAAAACCATCTTTTTCTTGGGACATGGAAGCTCAAGGTATCATAATTATATTGTATCTACCATCATTCCTAGTTTAGATGCTGATTTGCTTCTCAAACAACTTAGCGAACTATTCTTCTCACCACTTTTTTAAAACATTTCTTCCTTTTTTCCCACGGATGTTCTTCGCTCTTTTTCATTCTCCCTCCACCACCGCATGCGCCGCGTACAAAACTTGACCAAAAACTATCGGCAGCAACTGATCCACCCGGGATCAGCACTCCCTCAGATGATCTGAAGCTGATGCTGCTGGAATATGTGGGGATTGTGTTCAAGGCCACGTCATGTTTCGATCTTTCTCACGTCATGTTTCACATGGCTCAAATCCATTGGGGAAACCGCCAATCCCGACGATCTACGGTGGCTTTTCTGGGTAAAAAAACATATCAATTACTCATCATTTTACCCAGATTTTATGATATGATGATAGTCCCGATTGATGATAGTCCCCGTTGGGGGAAGAGACCCCCAAGTAATCTCGGGGAGATCCCGATGTTAGGCAAACAAGCCATACGAAGTGGCGCCCCACGATCGATAGCTAAGTTGTCTTATAAACCCCATGAAAACTCGTGCTATTGGCGGATCATTAAACTATAGTGAAATTGAAATTATTTGCAGCAACGTTTTCGTATGTTTTCGTGGCCAGACTTGGATCATCCCAGTGGTCGGCCGCAAAAAATGGACCAACTTCTTAGCAGGTGAACGTAGTAGATAATCCTATGCCAAGTCAGACTATTTTGGATTAGTGAAACTACCCATCTAAGATTGACCTATAGTTAGTAAGTGGTGTATTTTCCTGGCTAGTAAGTCTCCTATAGGTAGTTTGTCCCATAACCCTAGTTGCTAACCAGTGAGGAAGTATCGTTACCTTGCAGTCTCCGGAAAATAACCCATTTATAGTTCGATGTTTATGGTATATTTGATCATTACAGTCAGTAGTCTTGTTTGGATGATTCAGCCAGCGATGTAAGATTACATACAACAAGGTGATTCCCCAGTTCCTTAGCCTAGTTGGTTTATTTCACTAGGTTTGTCGTGATGAAAATAACTATAATTCATGGGGTTTGCAACGCAAACAACATATGGAGGTTTCCTGGAATTGGGGTACCCCCCAAATTGTCCATCTCAATAGGATTTTCCACTATAAACCATCCATTGTTGAGTCTTTTCATTTGAGGAAACCCCCATATACCCTCTGGTAACTTAACATAGCTATTGAAAATTGCCATAGACATAGTGGATTTACCAAACTAAAAATTGAATTTTTCCATGATTTTTTGTATGTTTACCAGAGGGTGAATCCCATTAACTCCCATTAAATCACTATTTTTCTGGGTGAAATCCCATCAATATCACCATTAAACCACTTGAAGGACAAAAAGAACACCAGTTTCCACCAGCTTCAGCACAATCGCCGCGCCGTTACAGCACTTCTCTCATTTTCTCCTAGGCCACGCGGCTTGAATCTGCGGGATTCCCGGTGGAGTTTCGTTATCCCCATTTTTCTGGGAGGTAGTATAATTTCTCATCATATCTCCTGAAAATATCCTGCAATCCTATCACAGCACCTACTAAATCACCATAATCTAGAACCTAAGTCCCTTTGAATCTCCATTTTCTGTTTTTTTTTCCATAGTCATAGTGAACTAAACCAACTTAGCTATTAAGTCACCATAATCACCATTTCAGGATAGAAAATCCCTATGGATATCTGTGTCATATCCCTATAGTGATATCACAATTATCCTGGTTGGTGGTTGACCTACCCCTCTGAAAAATTATGGAGTTCGTCAGTTGGGGGCTATGATTCCCAATGTGATGGGACAAAAACATTCATGTTCCAAACCACCAACCAGAATTCGATAAAAATAAAGAACACCTACCAAGTGGTGACGCCCAGTGATGTGAACGTTGGTTTATAAACTCCATGAAAACTATAGGTTTTTGCGTATCATAAACCATCGTGAAATTGGAACTATGTTCATCAACTTAGCTATCGTAGACGGGGCCCCACATTGTAGTATACTGGGTATATCATGTAATTCTCTAAAACTATGATAATATCTCTTAACATTCTATACATTGGATTCTCCAAGAAAAATGTAAAATCATGATATCACAGAATTTACTGTATATGATGTTATACCAGTGTAGTATATTGGGTAAGTCTCTAGTATATTGGGTATATCTTTTTTGGGGCTAGTTTCATCCCCAACAACTTGGCGAACGCTGCGCATGTTACTAACTGGATGTGCCTCTGGATAGGCCCCCCGAAGATGGACGTGACAAGTCACCAACTAGCGGTAAACTAACATAGCGAACTGTAAAATTACAATTTTTACTAGGTAAATCAACTATTTCTATGTGCCATTTTCAATAGCTATGTAACAAATTACCAGAGGGTAAAACATATACCCTACAGCTCCAAACACCTTCTGAGACTGTATTTGGTGTGTTTTTTTTGGGTGTAAACACCTTCTCAGAGGGTATTTGGAGCACTAGGGATATTTTATCCATTTGATCAACTTCATAAGAAGAACTGTCAAATAGTTGGAGTGTTAAAAGAACTATCCCAAATCATAGAAAACTTCAGTAATTGGTTGATAACCAATCAACTAGCGGCTGCTTTAAATGGCCCACTTGAGGATGATTATGGATCGAAAGAATGATCCAAACAATCGCGAAATGAAATCATGGCGGAATGGATCCTGGCATTTCCTTTTGGGGGGGGGGCTTCAGTTTTTTTTAAGCTAAGTTGGTTTATAACCCATATAACTAGGGTTCCTTGTTGATACAATATACTATGTGGGGCCCCCTAGTTATAAATTAGTTTATAAACCCGAATCACTGTACTAATGAGTATCAAAAACCATAGCTATAGGAGTTATAAACCAACTTAGCTATCTAGGGGGCCCCACGAAGTATTTATATATATATACATATATATATAATATACATACAGTATATTATATTTGTATACACAGTTAGATGAGGCTTAAAAACCAGGAAACACAACTGAGGAGCAGCGGTATAATGATGCGCCTTTCCTGTTATGGTCCAAATGCTTCCAAGAACTGGGACTCCCCATGTAGTGGATCTCCCATTGGGAAAATCCAAAATCATCTGAAACAAATCCAGGTGAAATTTCCAACTGGTATCCATTTCCAGCTCAGGGTTTGCCATGAGGGCCATGGAACCAAGTTTAATTGGATGAAGCGGGTGAATTAAAGCTTGAAATATACCCAGCGGGCAGTGGAAAAGTGTGAATTTCCCTATTGGTAAACATAAGGGTTGGCAGTTGGCAGTTCATGGATCATGATAATCCACTATATATTATATACAATCAGGGGGTGTGTATATATATATGTATATTTTTTTTTGCGACTTAAATATACATACATTACATTACATTGCATTACATTTCATTACATTTACATCAACATTAACACTTACATTACATTTACGTGTATATTTACATGTACATGAACATTTACATTACATTTACGTGTGCATTTACATGTACATGGACATTTACATTTACATTACAGATATATATATATATATATATGTGTAATATATAAATAAATGTGGTGTATATATATATATGTGTAATATATATATATATACGTAGATAATATGCCACCAACCAACTGGGGATTGTAAACACCAAGTCTTTTGGACATGCTCCAAGAACGGCGTCTACTCTTTTCACTTATCCCCAACAATTGGATATGTTCCAGCAGTTTTTTGATATTGTTCACATGAGAAGCGTATTATTTTTTCCGTACTAAACGAGAGAAAACATGGTTGTTGGTTTATAGCGATTCCTGTAATTCATTGGACTGGTTTAAGGGACTATCTACAGGGAACCAGGGTTTTTCCCATGAAATATAGGTGTTTCCTGTAATTTTCCCTTGAACCAATCCATTGAATAATGGACTATTTTGGTCCCCGCATAGCTAGTAGAACCCCTTGCTCAAACATTGAAACCGTCGTGGACTTTTTGGCGCTAGCAGTGGAACTTTTCTACCCCTTGTGTTTGAACATGTAACAACATGTTTTCAAATAGTAAAGTTTAATGATTTTCTAATAGTTTCAATGGTTTGACATTGTTTGTTTTGTGGTTTACGTATCTTTTATTGGTACCAGTAGTGCCGCACAAGGCGGTGGCGGAAATTTCAAAGATAGGAAGGTATAGGAGAGGTGAGTTGTTCTGATGCATGGATGGCAGAGCGAATCCACTGATGGGCCGAAAGATGGCTGTGATTTTTGGGGTGGTTGCAGTGGTCACCTCACCCACAACTGCAGGATGTAGTGCGGTGTAGCGTAGTGCAACGTAATCGTAGTTGTAGTTGTAGTTGCAGGTGTAGTGTAGTTGTAGTGGTAGTTGTGGTGTAGTTGATGTTGTTGAAGTTGCAATGTTGCAGTTGTTGTTGTGGTTGTAGCTATAGTGTAGTTGAAACTGTACTTGTAGTTTGTAATTGTAGTAGTTGTAGGAATTGTAGTTGTAGTTGTAGTTGCAGTTGTAATGTAGTTGTAGTCGTAGCTGTAGCTGTAGTGTAGTCTAGTTGCAGCTGTCTATCTGTCTATTTACAAATATAAATAAATATATATATATGTGTATTTAGCTATCTGTATATCCGTTTGTAACTATATCTGCCTCTAGCCATCTATCTATCTATCTATCTATCTATGTATCTATCTATCTATCTATCTATCTATCTATCTATCTGTCCATCCATCCATCCATCCATCCATCCATCCATCCATCCATCTATCTACCTCTCTATCTGCAAGCTTGAAAACGAAGCTATTCTGCGAGACCTGCTCAACTTATAAAACTTGACAACATCGAAAACGCAGCAATTTGCGACCTTTCCTTAATGTTTTAACTTGACAACGTCAAAAATGAACTCTGCGAGACTTCCTCAATTTTTGAACTTGACAACATCAAAAACAAAGCTATTCTGCGAGACTTCCTCAATCTTTAAAATGGACAACATCAAAAACGAAGCTATTCTGCGATACTTCCTTCAAAAATAGAACGTTGAGTGCAGAGCTGACGGCCTCTTACCAATGCGTTTTGCGATTTTTCTACTCCACCTGTCTAAAGTACTGCGCCTGCCAGGAAAAAGTGATGCGAGGTCATACGAAGTGCTGCACCTGTCACGCAAAATCATCTTAGCAAACCTGACGATCTGATGCACCAAAATGCAACCACTCTCAGGAAATCAGCGCCCGGACCTAACATCTCTGCTGAACATGTCTCTTGTACTGCGCCTGCCACGCGAAATGCATCTTTGCAGATCCTCTTCGAAATTCCCACGCCTGCCATCGTTTTTGGAAATGCTACAAAACCATCACGTTTTGCTCACTTTTGGCATGGTGCAAAATCCCTTCCGGGACAGTCAGTTTTTTTGACACTTTTGACTTGGAAATGTGCTTTGCGCCACAACGGCGTCCACTTTTTCGACATCAACTTCCAAAAGTGCTCCGAACATGAGGTGTTTTCTGCAGTTTGACTTCGAAATGTGCTTCGTGTCACAACGGCGTGCACTTTTTCGACATCTCAACTTAGGAACTTCCAAAGTGCTCCGATCAGGAGGCGTTTTGTACAGTTTGACTTCGAAATGTGCTTCACGCCACAACGGCGTGCAATTGTTCATCTCTCATGTGGGCAGATTGCTCCGCACCCGCCGCTTTAGCGAGCTTACTTTCGACCATCCGGAGCCACAAATCATTTGAAAAACACAGTGATTTGCGACTTTTCTACCTTTTTGCCCACCTGACTCTTTCTTCTGACTCTTTCTTCTGACTCTTTCTCTTCTCTTCTGACTCTTTCTCTTCGCACTCTTCTGACTCTTTCTCTTCTCTTCTCTGACTCTTTCTCTTCTCTTCGCACCTCTGCTTTTTCATCTGTCCATATTGTCGGAAGTTTGACTTCTAAACTTCCTTCGACTATTACCCGCTGGTATTTAATGCAGCTTATGAAAATCACGTTTTTTAAGAGGTAGATGATCCTGAATCTTATATATATATGCAATGTTAGAAAGCTATGTAACACATCACCAGCTTGAATCATCCAGTTATCATCCATCATCTTTTTTGGTTTCAGGGAAAATTGAAACCGGAAAGCCGAGCTTCAAGGGCAACGGTTCACCAATCGCAGGCTCAGGTGGGAAGCCTCACCGTTGTGTCAAGTATCACTGGTAACGTTTCAGACCAATGGAGGCACATGAAGATGATGTATACACGTGAAAAAAGTGAACATGAATATAATTCCCAGCATTTTTTTGAGAAACCCTATTTTCAAACAAAACCATCTATCTCTCTCTATATATATATATATATAACTATATTTTTTTGAGAAATACTCCCTGAAATTAAGCTCTCAAAAATTGGTCTTACACACAGTCGGTACCCCAGCTAGAGCACCCTGATCAAGCACCGGCTTTACTCTTACCGTAAGAACCCCTCAGTGTGGACACACACTGTTTGGGAGAAAAAAACATGTCATTGGAGTCACGGCACCATCCATGAAGTCTGACACCGGCGCCAGGGAGATCGGACTTCCCGCAAAGGGAGCAGGAGACTTCTCATCCTCAAAGGCTCAAAGGTGAGGAATTTCGAGCCAAGTAAGCATAGGAAAATCTAAGGAAACCATGGGAAAACCATGGGAAGACTATGGGAAAACCACAGGCTACTGTTGATTTAAGATGATTGAATCTAGAAAAATTGGGGTTGAAGCTAGAATTTAGAGCTGATTTATGATAAGTTGACACACAGCTCACTTAAGGTTGACTGTTGGGTTGATGAATGGGGTATATACGAACTAGTATTCATGGGTTTATGGACCATACTGTATATCTAATATTGTGCATATAGTAATATGTGCTGCATGTATGATATGTAAATAATATATATATATATATATGTGTGTGTGAAGACAATTAATCATTAAGAAACAATGACAGCAACAACAAATATCTTACAGTGGTATATGTGTATATATATATATATTCATGGTATCCAAACACTATGTCATTATGTAAACCCATCTAGTGCCCCAAAAACAAAGAAAACATGTATGGCCACATTTCTGTCAAGCATCCTCTTTAGAACTTATAGGCGACATTGTGCCAGAACGTTCCTTCTCTGCCATGTCCTTCGGCTCTGGCCCCTCCCCAGAAGCAATGCCACCAGTTGGTTCCAGCTGAGACTTCTCATCTGAACTTGTCGGCGACAATGTGCCAAGTTCCTTCTCTTTTTGGGCGACCACAGAACGCAAAACGTCTGGCACATTTCGCTTCCACTCAGACTTCTCCTCTGAACTTGGCGACATATCTGTCTCTGTTCCTGGCGACTTCTCTTTGCCTTCGGGCCAATGCAAAGAACCAGTTCCACTATTATACCATCCCATACCATCATAGTTAGCTAACCTGCCCTGCAGAAATCATAATTTCGAATTTCTATATCTCTGTCACTTAAATCCTCCATTCTTTGCACCAACTTAGCTATCCACCGGACGGAAAAAACACATCACATAGAACATGCCATTATCATCATAATTCGCTAACCTGCAATGTGCCCCCCCCCAAATTGCTCTATAAACCCCATGCAGTAAGTGTAGTTTTTTGCGTACCATAAACCATAGTTCTTTGAGTTATGTTCACCAACTTAGCTATCGCAAACGGGCCCCCACTTTGTGGAGATAAGCATCCCATAGAACATATCAGAACAGCCCATATCATCAGAATTCACCAGGGAAAACCAGGAAGAAAATCAGCATCATAGACATCATAGACATCATCATTTCACTGGTTGGTGGTGCAATAACCATCTTGGAAAATATTACCCCCTGTTAATTCAACATAGCTATTGAAAATGGCCATATATAGTTGATTATTTACCCATTAAAAATGGTGATTTTCAATAGCTATGTTCGTTTACCAGAGAGTATAGCCAATGGGAAGGATGACATCCCATATATAAAATGGAAAATAACATTCATGTTTGAAACCACCATCCAGTTCGGAAAAAAAAACATTGGAGTCACGGCACCATCCATGAAGTCTGGCACCCGCCCCAGGGAGAACGCACTTACTGCGGAGGGACCAGGAGACTTCTCCTCAATGGTGAGGAACTTCGAGCCCAAAAAACGTAGGAAAACTCGAAGGAAACCATGGGAAAACCCATAGGAAAACCATGGGAAATGTGATTTAAGATGATCAGAAAAATGGGGGAGGTCATGGATTTTTACAGCAAATTTTATGATAAGTTGACGCGCAGTTCACTTAAGGTTAACTGTTGGGTTAATGAATGGGGATATAACGACCTAGTTTTCATGGGTTTATAGACCAACAAACATTAGTGGGGAACCATATTTGTGCATAGTAATATGTGTTGCATGGCAATATATGGTTATATATACATATATATGTAGGGGAGAGGCTTGAGGTTCCCCGGAACATCGAAGAACCTTGAATCTTGCGATACAATAATACATGTCTGTTCTTCTAATATACAGAAGGGGGTGGGGGGGTACGTATTGACGTCCTTTGAACTGCGTTAGAGCAAAGATGCTGTCACGTTGATCTTCGTTGTGGCATACAGAAGGGGCACGAGGGAGGGAGGGTGTATTAACGTCCTTTGAACTGCGATAGATCAAAGATGTTGTCACGTTGATCTTCGTTGTGGCATACAGAAGGCGCGTGGGGGAGGGAGGATGTATAACGTCCTTTGAACTGCGTTAGAGGAAAGATGTTGTGACGGCGAAAATGTTGTTACGTTGAAGATGTTGCTATGTTGAAGATGTTGTTACGTTGAGGATGTTGCTACGTTGAAGATGTGTTTACCTTGAAGATGTTGAAGATGTTGCTATGTTGAAAAAGGGGAAACCTTTACACTGAGCAGCTTTTACACCGAAAAGGTTTTACTCGCAGGCACCTTGACACACAGAAGCTTTTACACCCAGACGTTTTTACGCAAAGAAACCTTTACACATAGAAACTTTTACACAGGAAAAACTTTACACAGAGAAGCCTTTACACAAAGAAGCCTGTACACAGAGGAGTTTTTACACACAGAGCCTCAGATCCTTTTACATACAGTGCATTCGCCCGTGTTTTATGGGATCCACGAAAACACTGAAATTCTATCGACACGCAATTCTACTGGGTTCAACCAAATTTACTTTACTTCGAGTTATCCCCACCATGACATCTATACGTTTTGTTACTGGCATATCTTCTGGCATTCTACCTGGCATACCTTCTGCAATATGTTGTGGCATATCTTCTGGCACTCTATCTGGCATATCTTCTGGCATATCTTTTGACATTCTATCTGCCATTCTATCTGGCAAATCTTCTGGCAAACATTCTGGCACTTTATCTGGCATACCTTCTGGCATTCTATCTGACATTCTATCTGGCATTTCTTCTGGCATTCTATCTGGCCTTCTATCTGGCCGTTGAGGTCCAGCGGTTCACACTGAGCTGGGCAGGTCCCAGGTTGAGGTCCAGCAGTGCACACTGAGCTGGGAAGGTCCCAGGTTGAGGTGCACACTGAGCTGGGCAGTCCACACTGAGCTCGGACGTTGGCGAAGAGCTTGGCGAAGAGTTGGCAAGGCAACAGTGGACGTGGAAGTGGAGGCAGAGGTGGTGGGGGAGATGCTGGCGGAGGAGGAGCAGGAGGAGCAGGAGGAGCAGGAGGAGGATAGCTAGCCGAGGAGGAGGAGGAGAACAACCGTGATAAAATCTAACAACCCTCACCTGGCAGGTGGGGAACAACATAAAATGAAGAAATTGAAAAACCTAAGACTAGTTAAAACCGCGGACAGCATACCCCAGGTATGTTGTCCGCGTTTTGTAGTCGTTCAATGTGTTATCATGTTCCATGAAGACAACAAAACACTGTAAAACGCAGTGAGAAATGACATTTCCAAATCTTTCTCCAGCTCCACTTCAACTGCGTTCTGGGGAACCTCAAGCCTCTTTCCTGTACATATATATACATAGAGAGATAGAGACATGTAATCATTGAGAAACAACGACAACGACAAGGACAACAACAACAACAACAACAACAACAACAACAACAACAACACCAGCAGCAGCAACAGCAACAGCAACAGCAACAGCTACAACAACAACTACAGCTACAGCTACAACTACAATTACAATTACAACTGCTGCAAATACAAATACAAATGCACATCATCTCTTGAAGGGGAAAAATAAAAAAAAAAATATATATATATTATATATATATATATATATACGTATAAACAAAACAACAGCATAATATAACATATATCATGGTGTCCAGACATATCTAAACTCATCTAGTGCCCAAAAACCAAAGAAAACATGTGTGGCCACATTTCTGTCAAGCATCCTCTTTAGAACTTATAGGCGACATTGTGCCAGAACGTTCCTTCTCTGCCACGTCCTTCGGCTCTGGCCCCTCCCCAGAAGCAATGCCACCAGCTGGTTCCAGTTGAGACTTCTCATCTGAACTTGTCGGCGACAATGTGCCAAGTTCCTTCTCTTTTCGGGCTGCGTCCACAGAACTGTCTCTCTTGTCTGCGTCTGCCGTTTGCAAAACGTCTGGCACATTTGGCTTCCACTCAGACTTCTCCTCTGAACTTGGCGACATATCTGTCTCTGTTCCTGGCAACTTCTCTTTGGCTTCTGGCCAAGCCAAAGAACCAGTGCCACCATCGTACACCGTATGCGGCCTGTAATCTTTCGAAGTTGGCTCCCGCTGAGACCTCTCGGAACTTGGCGAGACGACGGAGCCAGGTGTTACTTCTGTTCCTTGCTTTTGGTCAGCTTCGGGAGCTTTCTCAAAGGAACTAATGTAGTTCTGATCTTTGTATGCTACTTGCGCACCTGGTTGAGTTGAAAAACACCCAAAATCAAAGGTTTTTCTCAGCGGATCATCCATTTCAAGGGTTGAACAAAAAAACATTACACACCATAAACTATTTGTTTTGAAAGTGGCTGGTCTGTAGTTATTATAAGGTGGTTTACAACATTATGGTGATAAACCAATTAAGCATGCTCCCATCAGAATTACCGCACCTGTTCTACTCCAACCAGCAGTAGACGTGGTTTATTTAGCCACTAACTATAGCTATTTCATCACCATAAACCCAACAATAACTTTATTGAGATTTAATGGTGATTTAATTGGATATAATGAGATTGAATGATGATTTTAAAGGATTTATCATAGTGAATTTTAAATACCTGCCAAGGAATATTTCAGGTACCTAAATCAGAGGTACTGATCTGTGTGATCTGTGTAGTTTTTAGGCCTTTGTAAGGGCAGGGAATACACCCACAAAATATGGCTAAAAAAATATGGCACGGTACGTCCACTTTAGCATCCTGAAATTCCCATTGGATACTTATAGTCACCATAATTCCAAAAAAAATGTTAGCTATAAACCCAACATGTTTGAAACCAGCACCATAACGCAATAACCCCCACTAATTATCGATATCAGCATGTTTGAAACCACCTACCGTGTGGGGCCCCTAAAATAACTACGTTGGTTTATAACTCCAACAACTAAGGTTCATGATGCATCTGGGTACTTAATAGTAATTTATATACTAACCTGAAATCTGGCTATATTCCGCTACTTCCCCTTATCAACAAGCATTCCAGTGAGGTCGCAGTGAGGTCGTTATAATTTACCATGATTTACCCATATTATATACATATATCATGATAT